GTGAAGATCTGGGTTGGAATTGGTCTTCAGCAACCCATGTTTGTCGTAAGAGTTGACTAACGGGATCGGATGGTACGGTTCGCTGACTTGGTTGACACATGTCATCGTATCATAATTGTGTAGATCGATGCTCATGCTGTTGATCACTGGATTCTCTCGTCCAGACTCGATTATTTACAGACCGCTGCCATATAGCTGGAATATTGCTGAGTGCGGCGTTAAACAACAAACCAACCAGCCTGAACAATATGTTATCCTTGCTTCTACTCCAAACTGTTTCCGAGTGCGGAAACCTTCTGAAATAACATCTCCATTTAACCTTTGTAAAGACACATGAAATGGATGAAAGTGAAACAGTCATGAAGGACCTATCATCTCGAACAGTCTCCTTCAGCGATATGACATTCTCTCCTTATAATGACGAACGACAGGTATCAATTTGTATCATCAGGCAACTTTGTCAAAATTAATCGAACTTTATGATCACAGGAAAGATGAGATTGCGATGCATTGTGTTGCCATGGTAACAGATGAACGTGACTAACATCAGAATGGTGTATTTCCCGGAGGATAAATGAAAAAAGTATCAGCTTACGTTCCTATTAAACCGATGACGGAATATTGATGGAACTGTGACCGTTGTGAGTGTATCAAATCGTCAGTTTGACGTGATGAAGACAACTGATGAAATGTGTGTCGTGAATACACTTGTCAGTTCCTTGTCATTTGAGACACGATTTTCTCATCTAAGAGAAATTAGCGAAAAGAAATTGAATTAAGCATGATAGGATTTCTATTTCTGGAGGATGCTTGTGTTTTCTTGTCAGGCAACATGTTTATTTGATGGAATGTCCGACAGTTGTTATGTTATGCATGAGCAGTTGATTGTAGCTGCATACCCCTAAAGCTGAGAACAAACTTGAGATGTCAACTGATACAAAAACCGGGGACTGGTCGTGCAGCTTGTTTGTCTATTGTGTAATTATAGAGTAATATAAACGGCCTTCTTGTTTTTCTTCCTCTCGGTCTTTGACTTCCTCTTATTCTACTTGGTATTCTTCTTCTTCCTCTTGGTCTTCTTCTGTTTTGTTTTCCTCTCGAATTTTGTCTTCCTCTTCTTCTACTTGGTTTTCTTCTTGTTGCTTGGCCTCATTTTGGTCTTCTTCTTTGTCTTCTTCTCCTGAGACTTCTTCTTCCATGTGTGTGGACCCGTGAAGATCCGTGTTAGAATCGATCTTCAGTAACCCATGCTTGTCGTAAGATGCGACTAACGGGATCGGGTGTTCAGTTGATGACACATGTCATCGGTTCCCAATTGCGTAAATCGATGCTTATGCTGTTGATCACTGGATTGTCTGGTCCAGACTCTATTGTTACAGACCGCCGCCATATAGCTGGAATAGTGCCGAGTGAGGCGGAAAACTAAACTCACTCACTCACTCACTCATTTCTGGTGTCCCCCGCCGTGGTATTGCTGGTACCTTGCTAAAAGCTGCATAAAACCATACTCACACCTTCACTCTTCTTCTCGCTGTTCTCTGTTTCTTCTTCTCTCCCCTCTACTTGACGCAGGGGTGGTGGAGTAAACTAGTAGCTAAAGCGTTTAGAGGGTGTCAAGATCAGAAATAGAATTAAAAACTAACCATGCATTTTTCGAAAGTATTACTGAGTGAGTGACTTTAATTTCACGCCGCTTTTAGATATAGCGGCATAAAACCATACTCACTCACTCAATCTAATTGGAACGACGTTATATAGCAGTTACTCAAACAGTACAATCCTTTATTGTGGCGATGGATGTTACAAACTATATTTTGGTTCGCCGAAATGTAATCAAAGACCGTATAGCGATCACGGACATGTTTTGTCACAACCAGTTTATGCGTTGTCAACAGGCCACCTACATACAGTTTTCACGTGTATTTTCATCTTTTTGTGTCAATGTACACCGCAACGATTGCCACATTCAAATCACTAGTTCCCATATTTTCTGTTGTGAGTATATATCAGCACGATAAACAACTCAATTGTATAGATTTGAGTAAACATACTATCCAATGACCTACCGATGTCATCAGCAGCTGAAATCGATGTTGTAATCAGTCCGGTTTATTGTAGTGTCTAATGGAATATTTACAAGACGTCAATTATCAATGTCCACCATTTCTATCCCGCATCCCTGAGCACGGCTCTCATAAACCTATTTCAAACATATGTTGAGTGGGATGCCTTTTGTGTTTGCGAACCATGACCAGACATGGCAGACTTCATGTATTCGGCTTTAAACAAATCGTAACAAATCTGAATAATTGACAGAATGTTTAAATATACATCAAAATGTTTTTAGAGAGCGTGGCATGGCTTTATGTCGTTTGTTTTGGAGTTACTTGATGATGAGTAACAAAAATAGAATGAAATGGATTTTTAAGTGGAACTCTCTATCCTCATCTTCTGTGAACGTGGACACCTCAACTACATCTCCCTGTTTCTCTTCGGCCCCTGTCTTCCTCCATCCGTGATGCCTACACCTCACTACCCTTCTCCGTCCAATAACTATCCTACTACCTCCATCTCACTGCCCCTTTCTCCGTCCCATAACTATCCCACTACTCTACATACCTCACCTCTCCGTCCACTACCTTCCCTCCATCCACTGTCCCATAACTATCCCACTACCCTCACCTCTCCGTCCCATACTCACTCCTTTCTCCGTCCCATAACTATCCCACTACCTACACCTCACTACCTTTCTCCGTCCCATAACTATCCCACTACTACACTTACACCTTTTCACCTACCTCTCTCCGTCCCATAACTATCCACCTACCTCCACCTCACTACCCTCTCCGTCCCATAACTATCTTACTACCTACACCTCACTACCCTCTCCTCTGTCCCATAACTATCCCACTACCTCCACCTCACTACCCTTCTCCTGTCCCATCCCATAACTATCTCATTACTTACACCTCACTACCCTCTCCGTCCCATAACTATCCTCTATTCTACTACCTACACCTCACTACCCTCTCCTCTCCTTCCCATAACTATCTCACTACCTACACCTCACTACCTCTCTCCGTCCCTACCACTATCACTCACCCCTACTTCCAACTATCACCCTCACCTCACCCTCTACCCTGTATCTCACTAACCTCCTCCTTCACCATCCCTACCACTACCTACACCTGACTACTTTCTCTCCGTCCCATAACTATCTCACTACCTACACCTCACTACCCTTCTCCGTCCCATAACTATCCCACTACCTACACCTCACTACCTTCTCCGTCCCATAACTATCCCACTACCTACACCTCACTACCCTTCTCCGTCCCATAACTATCCCACTCACCTACACCTCACTACCCCTTCTCCGTCCCATAACCCTCCCTACTACCTACACCTCACTACTTTCTCCTGTCCCATAACTAACCCACTACCTACACCTGACTACCCTTCTCCTTCCCATCCCTCCCACTACCTACACCTCACTACCCTACTCCTACCCTTCTCCCCCCTATCCCACTTGTACTCACCTTCAACTCACCTCACTACCCTTTCTCTCCGTCCCATAACTATCCTACTACCTACACCTCTCACTACCCTCTCCTTCCCCTATCCCTACCACAACCTCTCACTCACCTCACTACCCTCTCTCCGTCCCATAACTATCCCACAACCCTACACCTCACTACCCCTCTCCTCTCCCATAACTATCCCTCCCACTACCTACCACCTCACTACCTTCTCCTTCCTACACATCCCTACCACTCACCTACACCTCTCACTACTTTCTCCGTCCCATAACCAACCCACTACCTACACCTGACTACCCTTCTCCTTCCCCATCCCTCCCACTACCTACACCTCACTACTTTCTCCGTCCCCCATAACTAACTCCACTACCTACACCTCACTACCTTTCTCCGTCCCATAACTATCACACTACCTACACCTCACTACCCTTTCTCCGTCCCAATCCCTCCTACATACCCTACTACGTCCCCTAACTATCACACTACCTACACCTCACTACCCTTCTCCGTCCCAATCCCTCCCTACCCTATTCGTCCCCCTAACTATCCCACAACCTACACCTCACTGCCCTTCTCCTTCCCCATCCCTCCCACTACCTACACCTCACTACTTTCCCGTTCCATAACTATCCCACTACCTACACCTGACTACCCTTCTCCTTCCCCATCCACCCGGGTTCGAATCCCCACATACTCACCTACAATGTGTGAAGCCCATTTCTGGTGTTCCCTACCGTGATGTTGCTGGAATATTGCTAAAAGCGGCGTAAAACCCAAACTCAGTCACTCAGTCTCCTTCCCCATCCCTCCCACTACCTACACCTCTCACTACTTTCTCCGTCCAATAACCAACCAACTACCTACACCTCACTACCTTCTCCGTTCAATAACTATCACACTACCTACACCTCACTACCCCTTCTCCGTCCCAATCCCTCCCACTACCTACACCTCACTACCCTTCTCCGTCCCATAACAATCCCACTACCTCCACCTCACTACCCTTCTCCGTCCCATAACTATCCAACTACCTCCATCTCACTACCCTTCTCAATCTCCCGCCCCCTTCCAACAAATATCAACATCTTCAAAAGTTGAAGCAGCAAGTTGCAAGGAGAAAGTCGAAGTATCAAAGCGACACCGACATATCCCAGTAAAGTACCGCCAAGAGCTACAGGACGTTAACGCTTGTTTTGGCTCGACTATAACACGGTATTGATCTATACCCTCAATGTCGCGGGGTCCAGGATGGATTAATCCCTACATCAGAATCTACGCCGTAACATGCATGCCCATAACATCCCTACAATGACTGAGATCGATTCGTGGTGTGTTGAAAGCACCGTGTTCTCTACCATATCCGTTACCTCATGCGAGACTTTCGTCCCCGAGATAAGGCATTCACCATCGCTCAATATCGATTTCCCTTCTCCGCGTCTGCGCACGAGTAGCTTCCGGCACTATGACCTGCCAAACGATTGCGGCTAAAGGAATGTTTATATTGAGATAAGTCGCCGGCGCTCCAGCTCCAACCATCAATGGATCAGTCGTCCCCGCCACTGTCGGCCCCAGCTATGCAGTTCCACCACCGAACACGTTGACGCTTGAAACACGAAAATTACGCATTACCATGGTAACGTTCTAGTGTTCTGTGAGTATGGAATCGGACGCTTCCTAGAGAGTCAATATTTCTGGCATGATGCGTCCAAGTAATTGAACATTTCGGAATATACAATGTGTTTCGACAGCATCGTCCGATCTCAACTAAGTGAGGCGACCAACCAACTAGCTTTATCCTCAGATGCATGTGGATGCGAGCCCTTGTTTACAATCAGCGCAGTCAGATACTATCGCCTATATTAACTGGACCCACTCCTCAGTGATTCTACAGGCCAGGAACATCCTCCTTGTGTTTGACCGGTAAGTACTCAACTTGAGTTCCACCACGTGGTTTTCCGTTGTCTGTTACAGCCTCTTACTCCGTTAAACGTTAACAAACGTGACCCCGATGCCCTTTGTATTACGCCAGTGCAAAACGATTATTTGGTATGATTTGAAATTTATCTCAGTTATGTGATCAATACTGCTTTCTAACTGTTTCAGAGCAGGAAGCATGGATGTTTCTTGCGATTATAATTACAGTTTCAGAACTTGCCCTTGACCGTTGATCTTAATATTTATTAGAGATAATCATGTCCATTTACTGCATATATAAACACACATGATTCGCGTTTGTTTCCAAATATGACAGAAACACTGCCAATTATTTACAGAAACAAAAAAATATTTAAATAAATTGACCTACGTGTATAATGTCATATATTTGATTGTATAAAACTAAGCATATTAATTATATAAAACAAATATATATCTCGTTTACAGGTTTGTACCTACACGATCGTATAAAACACAATATAGTTAATGTTATAGATAAGTAATGAATAAGACTTAAATGTATGTGTATTTAATTTCTGATTATACAGTGAAGATTATTCAGTTAGAAGGTCAATGTCGCAAGTAAATCAATATATTGTCACGCGTTCTCTAACGAGCACTTCATTGCGATGTTGTCCCTTGGTGTGTTAAGAGAAGCAAGCTGATAGCCTTTTTTGTCAGAGATTGTGGTCATCCGCATTTTTGTTTTTTGTGCTGATTTCGCAGCAACTACTTCGATGATGGTTCGAGGCATGGAATTGCAATCAGCTCTGCATCAGACCCATGTCAATTAGCATTATCTGTCAACGGGAGTAATGAAATATTCATTACGGAACACTCCACATGCTGTCTGCGAAACAATTGGAACACTGGAACGCGACAGAGTTGATTATCGTTATGCATAAAATGAAATCCCAACGGTTGAAGAACTAATCCTCAAAGTGCATTACTAGGAAAAGATTGATAGCAAAACATCGTTACAATAACAACAATTTTGAACTTTAATTCAGTTTGGTTCTTGTATTTGAATAGAAATAAATTGTAAATGGTCTATACTGTTCCATCCTATATTATACTCTACATCATATACTGTACTCTTTATCCTATATTTGTCCTGTATATCCTATACTCTATATCCTACATCTTTACTCTATATCCTATACTGTACTCTATATCCTACATCTTTACTCTATATCCTATACTGTACTCTATATCCTATATTTGTCCTATATATCCTATACTATACTTTATATCCTACATTTTTTCTCTATATCCTATACTGTACTCTATATCCTATATTTTACTCTATATCCTACAGTATACTCTATATCCTACATTTTTTACTCTATATCCTATATTCTATATCCTACATTTTTACTATATCCTATATTATACTCTATATCCTATATTTTACTCTATATCCTACAGTATACTCTATATCCTACATTTTTACTCTATATCCTATATTATACTCTATATCCTATACTATACTCTATATCCTATATGTTTACTCTATATCCTATACTATACTCTATATCCTACATTTTTACTCTATATCCTATACTGTACTCTATATCCTATATTTTACTCTATATCCTATACTGTACTCTATATCCTACATTTTTACTCTATATCCTATACTGTACTCTATATCCTATATTTTACTCTATATCCTATACTGTACTCTATATCCTATTATTTTACTCTATATCCTATACTATACTCTATATCCTACATTTGTACTCTATATCCTATATTTTGCTCTATATCCTATACTGTACTCCATATCCTATATTTTACTCTATATACTATACTATACTCTATACCCTATTATTTTACTCTAGATCCTATATTTATAGTCTATATCCTATATTATACTCTATATTCTATAATTTTACTCTATATCCTATATTTTTATTCTATACCCTTCACTTTACTCTATATCCTATATTGTTACTCAATATCCTTTACTATACTCATTATCCTATACTTAACTTTATATCCATTATACATTACACTTTTAGTCTACATCCTATACTATATATCTCAAAATTTATATCCTATACTTCTACTCTATATCTTACAATTCTACTATATGGTTTACAGCTTTACCCCATATCCTATACCTTTACTCTATATCCTATACTTTTACTCTATATCCTATACTTTTACTTGTTATGATCTGACGACAGAATTCTACGACATACTGTTTACCTAAAGAAAACTATTTAAAGTGTATTCCAAATGCTTGAAATGTCCCTGAATTTATCTGATGTATTTAAAAAACAGCGAGGAAGTTTGAAAGGAACAAAATGTGTATGTCAGTGACCATCGTACACAGACGCAATGCTTTCATTTCTAAATCGGAAACTGTTTCATATTTTTCATGTCTAAACATTCATTCAGATATATTTCAGAAAATGTTCACATGTGAACAGGGTAAGCCTAGTGGTGAAGCGTCCACCCGGATTCGATTCCTACATTGATACAATATGTGAAGCCCATTTCTGGTGTCCCCCGCCATGATATAGCTGGACTATTGCGAAAAGCGGCTAAAAACTAAACTCACTCATTCATATGCCGTTGGGATCCGCTTCCCGGTGTTGTGAATACTTGTTGTTACCTTGCCTTGCGTTCAGCATTTAGGGGAGAAAACAATGACTGTTCCACAGAGATCATTTGTCTTACACTGCACCATGGGCTGTATCTCAATAGGCTGTCTCAATATAGCCGGTATAAATCCGGACTTGTACAAGCGGGCGCGTTGTATTTGTCCACGGTGTACGCAAACCATAAAATCTTTCACATATCTACAATGAGTGAGTGAGTATGGTTTTACGCCGCATTTAGTAATACCCCAGTTCCCCGAATTGTACCCACGTCGGGAATCGAACCCCGGATTTTGTCGTGACGAGCGAACGCTCCAACCACAAGGTTACACCACGCCCCCATTCACAATGAGCATGTCTGCGAGACGTTGTATTGTTAGTTTCATGTCATATATCATTTTTTGACGTTATTGTGAATGAATGTTGTTGAACACAGCGGTCATGATCTTTACCAAACAAACCAATGGTAGACAACATATTAGAAGTAGTCAACACAAACCGGACCCTGACATGCGATAAATTCGGGTCAGACATTATATAATCATTTAGGCATCACAGTTAGGGGAGGAACGCACAGGTCACAAATAAGAAAATGTATTAAACGTATTTAAATGTACATTATTATTATGCTAACATTTGTATAGCGCCAATATCCAGGTCAGCTGCTCAAAGGCGCTTTGATTTTCCCTTGATCAGTGGATGTCAAACTCAAACGGCACATCGTATTATAAGTCTCAACTCCCTGGGGAGTATACAACTCTTGCAGCCACTAAGCGCACCGAGTTAATGTGGCTTTCCCATCCTTACGAGGTACCCATTTACAGCTGGGTGGACTGGGACACAAAGTCACAGCACTTTGCCTAGTTTTACTGCAAGTTGCTGTACCCGCAACTATGTGTTTGCACGTATTCATGTGGCCACCATCTGGTCATTTACCAACGGATTCGTGGGTGCTTTTAAGTGCACAGGGTTATGTACTGTACACTAGGGGTTGTGACAATACTGAAAGAGTCTGCACACAAAGTTGACTCCAAGGTTCTTACACAGGTGGGCTCGATCCAGGCAACTCAGGCTCGCTGGATCACTAGCCTGGCGCCTTATACAGCCCGCCACCACGCCCCAAGTCGATTAAGTTTGAACATAGATGAAGGAAATTCGACACACGGATGAGCATATGTAATGATGTCATGATCAGCGTTAATTCAGTTCACTCACTGCACACATGTGGACACAAGGGGGCGTTCAGGTCAGTATCTGCATTCGTAACTACTCGCCTCTTTCCGTGACCTACTAGAAGACTCGTACCCCTATCGTACGCCATTATTGCCAAGAATTGTGGCAAACCAATCAAATCGCGCGTAGTAAAACGCATTTCGAAGCATGAAAATGGCGGCCCTGTTGAACTTTGAAACTTCGTTAAACTATGCAAAGCACATTTCAAACATAAACTATGTGCTAAAGGATCCGCAACTTTCAACACTGAAACATATTTATAAAGGGAATGGCTGTATTGCTGTTTTGCCCTCGGGATATAGGATATTCTAGGTACCATGTTTGGAAATTCAGAGTTATCTCTCCTTGGTAATAGTACAGTAACTAGACTATTTTCATCTTCATGCCCGTTTGCGCTTAGACAGTGCCCAGTCGTAAACATGGCCACGAGAGGGGTACGAGACGCCATCCGGCTTGCCGGAATGACACGAGTAGTTACGAATGCAGTATCTGGTGACACCTCCCCTCACTGTGCAGAGTTGCTTCCCTTAGTAGCAAGAGAAACGTTTGATCGTGCGCTCTAATCCTCATTCCCGCCGATTATGCTTCGAGATTTATGAGCACAATAACATCCTATTTGATTCCACACATTCCACACGCTGTGATATAGCGTTTCATTGTTCTCGACCTGTTCTGCTCCATTCAACACAAGCTGTGCCCACCATATCCAACATCGCAATCAAATGACTGAAAAACAATATTTATTTGTTTAACACAGTAACATATGGTAGTCTCATTGTACATTCATAGCATGTATGGTTCAATAACAGTGAGCGTTGAATAGTTCCATATGAATAACACGTGTAATCATGACATCACTGTCCCTCTACCGTCGATGGTGCTGCCAACGCTGTTGTTGGTTTGTTTGTCGTCCCCGCAGTCAGGAACATTTCAGCTGTATGACGGCAGTGTGTACATAATCGAGTCTGGACTAGACGATCCAGTGATCAACATCATGAGCATTAAGGCTGCGCAATATTACCGGTTTACCGGTATTTACCGGTTCAGACATGAAAACAATACGTATTGCCATACGCTGATCGGAAACCGGCATTTTGACATGCATTCGGAAAACTTCGTAACAATCGGGAATCTTGAGGATTG